GCTTATACTACTAGGAAGGGACTGCAGTCTCTGCAGGGGAAAAAAACCCCAGAGGGATCTAGGAAAATGTTACATGCACATGAAACTGTTCTGCTGCACGACCGTATCATAGAAGTGGAAGGTACCCAAAGGGTCATACAATCTACCACCTGCAATGCAGGAATCTTCCACCTCTCATTTGTGTGAGCAATTTCCTTATCTTGTAACACGTCATCTAATGTGTTATTCTCTTGTGCGCTGATTGATGCTTTTATTTTTTCATAAAAGTCAAAAAGCCGTCGTTACGTGTTCTCTCTGGCGTGAATTTTCCAGTGCCGAATGAGATTTGGACTCTGAGTGAAGCTCTTCCCACATTCTGAGCACTTGTAGGGTTTCTCTCCAGTGTGGAGCCTCTGATGCCTGATAAGATGTGAGCTCTGGTTAAAGCTTTTCCCACACTCAATGCACTTATACGGTTTTTCCCCCGTGTGGATTCTCTGGTGTGTGAAAAGGTTTGTGCTCTGATTGAAGCTCTTCTCACAAATGAAGCACTTATAGAGCTTCTCTCCTGTGTGGATTCTCTGGTGCCTGATAAGACTTGATTTGTCGCAAAAGCTTTCGCTGCAGTCCGAGCATTTATAAGGTTTCTCCCCTCTGTGGTATCTCTGATGTGTAAGGAGGCTCCAGTTGCGACTGAAGCTCTTTTCACACACTGAGCATTTATATGTTTTTTCTCCCGAGTGGATGCCTTGATGTGTCATGAGACCGGATTTGTCTGAAAAGCTATTGCTACAGAATTTGTATGGTTTCTCCTCTAAGTGAATTCTCTGATGCTTAAAAAGGTTGGAGCTCTTACTGAAGCTTTCCCCACAGTCAAAACATTTATAAGGATCTTCTTCTGCATATATTTCTGGATGTCCAAGAAGACTCATGTCATCAGAGATGCTCTTGCTAAAGATTACGGAACTACACAGATCCTTCTCTCCTTTGTGAATTTTCTCATGTGAATTGTGCTTAGACTGAACAGAGAAGCCCTTGCTGCCTTTGGAGTGATTACGGGGTTTCTGTGTCGTGTGGATTTTCTGGTGAGCAATAAGGTTTGAGCTGCGGCTGAAGCTTTTCCCACAGTTCAAGCATTTATAGGGTCTCTCTCCTGTGTGGATTCTCTGATGGGCGTTAAGACTCGATTTTTCACAAAAGCTCTTGCTGCAGTCTGAACAGCTATACAGCTTCTCCCCTGTGTGCAGCCTCTGATGTGAAGTGAGTCGCGTCCTTCGGTTGAAGCTTTTTCCACAAACTGCACATTTATAGGGCCTCTCGCCTGTGTGGATTCTCTGATGAGTAACAAGGCTCGATTTGTGACTAAAGATCTGCCCACACACAGCACACTCGTTCCTCCTCCTTACTTTGCACGGTTCCTTTTGGAACGGGCTTTCGTGGAACTCCACATCCTGCAAATAAAGGAATCTGTCCTTCCACTTCACTGCCGGCTTTCCAACCTGAATCTCTGGTCCATCTTCACTCACAAATATCTCTTTCACATCTCGAGTCTCAGTTCCCTCTGAAGCAGCCTCATAAAGTTCATCCTCGTTCTCCCTCTTCCAGCCTGAAATAAACAGAGATGCTTGTTTATTTCCTGCTTCTAGGTTGTGAACAAATAAATGGCCTCAGTCCTGTATACCTGAAGGAGCGTCTCCACCCCCATTGTTCAGCCCGGACACTGAAATCCAGCGCTGAGGGCCTTCTGGCGGTCATTGCGAGAAGTGAGGTTACAGGGAACCAGGCAGAGGGCCTTCTCGGTAGTGGCACCCACCATTTGGAACGCCCTCCCATTCCCATCAGATGTCAAGGAAATAAGCAGCTATCTTCTCTTTAAAAGACATCTGAAGGCAGCCCTGTTTAGGGAAGTTTTTAATATTTAATGCTGTATTGTTTTTAACACTCGATTGTAAGCCGTCCAGAGTGGCTGGGGAAACTCAGCCAGATGGCGGGGTATAAATAATAAATGATGATGATGATGATGATGCTAAAAGAGAGAAACAAAAGATGAGTCTTTTGCCCACCTTTTAAACTCTCCCCTTCCTCAGTACACTGCTCAATGATCTCTTCCTCTTCCAACCGGCAGATGAGGTCAGGCTTGGGAATCAGCAGAGCTTCTAGATATTCAAAACATAAAAATCAAACACCTGGTTATGCAGGGGCTGCAAGAGAGCTTCCAAGCTCTTTCCATCCACATAGGAAGGACTGTTGCTCGGTGCTACAGCATTTACTTTTGTATGTAGAGAGTCACAGATTCAATTCTCCAGGTACGTCTGGGAGAGATTCACCGGCCCGAAACCCTGGACAGGGACTGCTAGTCAGGCCACATTCACACCTCACATTTAAAAGCACTATCATGCCACTTTAAATGATCATGGCTTCCCCCAAGGAATTCTGGGAGATGGTGTTTGATAAGGCTGCTGGGAGTGGTTAGGAGCCCCCCTATTCCCATCATAGAGTGAGAATTATAGAGTGGTTTATCTGATTTGGCATGGGCTGGCTGGGGCGGGGGGGGGGGGGGCGCTGAGAGAAGTTGGAATCCAACAACACCCCCTGCCTCATCTGCGGCCAAAGGTGTCCTTACCTAGAGAGACCACCATCCCATAATTCTGCAACATGACCTCCGGTACAATGCTCTCTGGCCTGGAACCAGCATGGCCCACTCCTCCTCTGTGAAACTCACAGCCACCTCCTCGAAAACCACAGCCTCCTGAAACACATACAAAACTATTTTCTTTTTCTTTATTTTCTTTATGCTTTTCGGGTTTATACATTTCAATCATTCTACAATCATTTTAACATTTCAAAACTCGTCTTCCTTCCCCCCTCTTTCTGCGGTCCCTTAAGTTTACTTTCAATATCTTCTGCCATATCCAAATGAACTTAATTTGCTCATTTATTTATCTACTTTAAATGTATGCTCTTATAAAACTGCAGGTTATTACAATAATCCTGCCAATGTTCTTATCTGTTTACAATTTATCTGTAAATATTCAATAAACCACTTCCATTCTTTTACAAAAAGTTTGTTATCTTGATTTCTTATTCTTCCGGTTATTAATTCTGCGTATTCTGCAAGTTTTTGTATTCATTCTTCCTTTACTGGGACTTCTGCTTCTTTCCATTTGGGGGCGAATAACATTCTTGCCGCTGTAGTGGGATACATGAATAAGTTTCTATACAGTTTGGGTAGTTCTGTCCTTATATTACACAACTATTTTCTAGCCAATTATCCCAGAAAACGGGGTAACGATTGCTCTCCTTCCATCACACACCCAAAGGACACAATAGGAACAGGTGGTTGTTTTCAGGGTGGAGAATCTGCAGGTGACGTTGGACTTTCTGTTCCTCCTCAGGCAATGATGTTTCCACCTCCCTTGCCCCACCTAGCCTTTCCCAAGTTATGACTTTGAGAATAGCAGCAGCAATAGCTGGCGACAGAGGAGTTCAGGGATATTTTTTTAAAAATAGTTTTATAAGTTGTGCTTCTTTGTTTCTCAGCTTAATCCTTTTACAGCGGTACCTCGGGTTAAGAACTTAATTCGTTCCAGAGGTCCATTCTTAACCTGAAACTGTTCTTAACCTGAAGCACCAGTTTAGCTAATGGGGCCTCCTGCTGCTGCCGTGCCGCCAGAGCACGATTTCTGTTCTCATCCTGAAGCAAAGTTCTTAACCTGAGGTACTATTTCTGGGTTAGCGGAGTCTGTAACCTGAAGCGTATGTAACCCGAAGCGTATGTCACCCGAGGTACCACTGTATTAGATTCTGATGGATTGTTGAATGTTGCTTTGTTTGCTATAAGTTGTTTATTTTAAAGTTACTGTGATTTTTATATTGGATCAGACTGCAACTATTAATATTTGATGTTTTATTGTGTGTTTATGTCTTGGAAGCCACTTATTATTATTATTATTATTATTATTATTATTATTATCATTATTATCATTATCATCAGTCACCCAGGCAGCAAAGTCAACTGTCAGGCATGATGGGTGTTGCACTGCAGCGACACCTAGAGGGCAACAGGTTCCCCATCCCTATTCTGCAAGATTCAAAGGTTCATACCATCAAAATGGGCTGAACTCACAGCTTTGAGGGCTTTGAACATGAGCGGGGAACCTCCGGGAGGCCAAATGCACCCCTCTCCCAGCCCCTCTACTGTACAAAGGTAAGAACTGCATTTGCTGCTCCGCCTACTTTTGTCTCTGGCCCCGCCCACTGCTGGCCTGTGGCCCCTGATAGGCTGCCCAGAACAGAATGCGGCCCTCAGGCTTAAAATTGCACACACACACACAAAATCCTTGATATTGAGGACTGAAAAGAGAAGGAGGGGAATTGAGAGAGGTTCTTTTGTGGAATTGTGATGACAGTATGTAATTATATTCTTTAGGGAATTGTGAGAATCCTTATTGGAGGTGCTAACGATGGTACTTTGTGAGCGACGACAAGTTATTGTGCCACCCTTCCTCCCAAAGAAGCCCAGGGATATATAAGAAAGTGGCACCCCAGTTGTCTGAAATAGGTCTCCCCAACAGGCTTTCTCCTACCTGAGCTGGCTGGATGGTGGCTTTCCCCCCTCCAGTAGAAAAAGGAGAAGATTCAGAATGTGCCTCAGGTGCCATTTCACTGTCTGTTAATGAAACGGAGGTAGAATCAGAAGCAGAGGGCCAAACAAAGATTTAAAATCAGCCTCCTAGCCAATCAGGGTTTATGTTTTAATCAGCCTCCTAGCCAATCAGGGTCTAGTTTTTCATCTGCCTCCTAGTCAATCAATCAAGGTTTATTTTTTAATCAGCTTCCAAGCCTGAAGATGCAAAGCAAAACAAAAGAGCACATTATAAAGTGTCACACCCTGGTGGATCACGTTAAGCTTGTGATCCACTAAGACACCTAAATCCTTATTGCGCTTAGTATTGCCAAACGAAATCTCACCACCTCCCCCAACACTAAATGCAGGATTTTACCTTTATCTCTGTGGAATTTCATTGTGCTGGTTTTGGCCCACGTCCCGGCCTGTCAAAGTCGTCCGACGGAACCTTCTTTGCACCAGATAAAGGGCCGGCCACCTCCATCAACGGCTCCTGGACCTAAAACAGGAGAGAGTATTAAGGGCATCGGAATATGTTCTTAACGGACGGCCATCTGTCATGGATGCTTTAGCTGAGACTCCTGCAGAGCATGGGGTTGGACTAGATAACCCCTGGGGTTCCTTTCAACTCTACAATTCTGTGATTCCCCTTTTCTACTCCTTTCTCAACTCCATTCATTCATTTAAATTTTATTTAGTTTTTCAGATTTTGAAATTTACAAACGATTATCAAACACGCAACATAAAAAGAAGATTCCGAAGAATCTCCTGGACTCCCAACCTCCCCTCTGTGGGTCCTTGTCTTGCTCCTGCATATTGTCTATTAATCCATCATTTATTTATTTTAGGTGGGTGACCAGCAGAACAAAGCTTCTGAGAAAGGCTGTAAAACAACTTCCTTGTAAAACAACAATTTCTTCATGCCCACAGCATGAACCACCAAAATGTAACCCGCTCACCGTTTGCCTTCTGTCCTCCTGCTGCTTCAGTAGAAAACCTTCCGCCAGGGCTACGGCCTGGGCACAGCTCCCTGGGCGGCCTTCCCTGACCCAGCTCTGCATCTCCGGGGGCAGGACGGCCAGGAACTGCTCCAGGACCACCAGCTCCAACATCTCTTCCTTGGTGAGTCTCTTGGGCCTCAGCCACCGGCAGCAAAGGTCCAGGAGCCGGCTGCAAACCTCGTGGGGACCAATGGCCTCTTGGTACCTGAACTGCCTGAACTCAGCACCGGAATTTGGAGCATCCTGGTTCAAGATCTCCGGAGCTGTTTTTCTGCAGGTTTCCATGCCACACCCAGCCCGAGCGCTTTCAGTCCTCCTTCTCTCTGCTTTGAGGGCAGTTGACTCTCGAAGAGCCTCCTCGGACTCCAGTCCCGCAGCCAAAAGATCACCTCGCTTTACGGCAGCCATGTTCTCTCTCTCTCTCAGGACTGGCAACGGGGCTTAGTCCCACGGTTCAACAGCATTTCCTCTAGCCAAGCAATATATCTGGTTACCAAGAGGAGATTCTTCTCCCTATGGAAAGCTGAATACAGTGGTACCTCGGGTTCAGAACTTAATTCGTCCTGGAGGTCCGTTCTTAACCTGAGGTACCACTTTAGCTAATGGGGCCTCCCACTGCTGCCGTGCTGCCACCGTGCGATTTCTGTTCTCATCCTGAAGCAAAGTTCTTAACCCGAGGTGCTAAATCTGGGTTAGCGGAGTCTGTAACCTGAAGCGTCTGTAACCTGAGGTACCACTGTAATAATAAAACAAAAGGTAAAGGAACCCTGGATGGTTAAGTCCAGTCAAAGGCGACTTATGGGGTTGCACTACTTATCTCTCTTTCGGGCCAAGGGTGCCGGCGTTTGTCCACAGACAGCTTTCCAGGTCATGTGGCCGGCATGACTAAACCACTTCTGGCACAATGGGACACCATGACGGAAACCAGAGCACACGGAAACAATGTTTACCTTCCTGCCGCAGTGGTACCTATTTATCTACTTGCACTTGTGTGCTTTCGAACTGCCTAGGTTGCAGGAGCTGGGACACAGAAACGGGAGCTCAGTCCATTGTGGGATTTGAACCGCCGACCTTCTGATCAGCAAGCCCAAGAGGCTCTGTGATTTAGACCACAGCAACACCCGCATCCCGGAAGCTTTATACTGTTCTGAGTCTCAGCTCACCCTAAGAAATTGGAGGCATGGGGATGGTGTGGGGACAGAGGAGCTGAGCTCTGCTCTCCTAAAAATGACTAAGGACCCAAACCTCCTTGTAGGTTGAGAGATGCAAGATACAGCACCTGTGTCTCTGCTTAGTCTTCTGTAAAATTGGGGAAAGGCCATACCTAACTGGCAGAGTATGTGCTTTGCATCTGGAAGATTCCAGATTCAATCCCTGGCTTCTCCAGGTGGGGCTGAGAAGAAGAGACTCCCATTTCAAACGCTGGAGAGCAACTGCCAGCCAGTGTCAACAATTCCAAGCTACTTAGATCAACGGTTGGACTCAGGACCAGGCGGTTTACTCCTTAAGCCGAGATGTGTTGTAGAAGTTATCATTCATTGTATTTAGATCACATCATTCCTCCAAACATCTGTTTTTTCATACTGTCAGGAGCAAGCTGGCAATAAAGCACAGCATTCAATTTGGAGTTAACACTTTACAGTCAAACTTCGGTTGTTGAACGTAATCCGTTCTGGAAGCCCGTTTGGCTTCCAAAATGTTAGACAACCAAGGTGTGGTTTCTGACTGGTTGCAAGAGCGTCCTGCACTCAAGTGGAAGATGTGTTGTACAGTCGGCTTCTAAAAAACGTTCAAAAACCACAGCGTTTACTTCCGGGTTTTTGGTGTTCGAGAGGCAAAACGTTCCAAAACGGAGCCGTTCAGGAACTGAGGTTTCACTTGTACAGTGGTACCTCGGGTTAAGTACTTAATTCGTTCTGGAGGTCCGTACTTAACCTGAAACTGTTCTTAACCTGAATCACCACTTTAGCTAATGGGGCCTCCTGCTGCTGCTGTGCCGCCGGAGCACGATTTCTGTTCTCATCCTGAAGCAAAGTTCTTAACCTGAAGCACTATTTCTGGGTTAGCGGAGTCTGTAACCTGAAGTGTATGTAACCTGAAAGCGTTTGTAACCCGAGGTACCACTGTATTAGAAAGAGCATGATCTGCACAGACTGGGCCAATATCAGGCTTAAAGAGCCCAGCAGCTCATCCCTGTTAGGCCTTGCCCCTGCCTCCCTACAGCTGTCTAAGTCCCCTCCTGTCCAGGGTTTTTTCCAAGCATATGGAGACTTTGCCTGCATGAAGCCAACCTCTTCCTCCACCCTTTTCATGCCTCTTCTGGTTCTGGGAGGCAAGGGGGGAGGGGAGCTTGTAACACCAGAAGGAGAAAACCATGATTCTTCACCAGCCTGACCCATCTCTGCCTCTTGGCCTTCCTCATCCCACTTCTCCTGCTTCTGCTTCTGCCTCTGATTCTGGGCTTCTCTTCTGCCACAGATTCTCCCTGCTCACTAAAACCTTGTTACCTCTTTAGCTTCTGACACCTTCTCCTCCCTTGTCTTCTTCCTCTGACCACCCTTCCTCTGCATCCAACCACTCCGTGACACATACATATAGGGTAGGAGCCAGACTTGAGTTTCCCAGTCAGTTCCCATTGAAACCAACTGGACTAAAGCCATTTACTAACTTTCACAATGATTTTAAGCAGCCTAAACACAACTGACTCAAGTCTAGATACAACTCAAAGTTCCTCTGGCCTTTTTTAAAATTATCACTATGTCCTTGAAAAGAGATAGTGACTGGCTTACAGTCACGCAGTAACACTTGCAGGTGAGGGGATTTGAAATAGGATCGTACCTGTCCCACTCCAACCACTACACCACGCTGCCTCTCAGTTTAATATAAAGATTTCTGTGGAACTCAAAAGCTTGCTCGCTAATGGGTGATTTAAACATCCTTTAATTGCATGGTGTAATACACAGTCTTAAGTCCCAATGAATAAATGGGATTTTATTCCCAGGTACTGTAAATGCAAGCAGGACTGTTCTCTGCTCGCAATAAAAGGTGCCTTTATTACTACCATTATAGATATTTTTTTCCCACCCTCTGCAATTTCTTTAAATAAATATATATTTGTGACAATCATTCCTATAAATATGAAATCTGGTCTGCAATATTTTTTTTTCTGCTACGCCAGCTCTCCATTGCACCCTTTTCACCCCAAATGCATTTTGCACTCACCTCTTTCCAGGAGAAATTCCAAAGCCCATCCACCCCACCCCCTTTTTTTATTTTTTGCAAAGGTAGAGCGAAGGGGGATAGGCAAGGTTGGCCGGAAGTGCCTCCACCAACGAATCAACCTTGCCTCCTGAAGGGACCCTCTAGGAATGCAGAACTCGGTCAGATTAACCCTTAACCTGTAATGGGGGGAACCCACCACCTTGGAAAAGTGGCATAATATATATTTTTTTCCTTTTAAGTTTACAAAAAAAAATTTAAAAAATGGAAAAGGCTATTAAGAACTCAGAGAGCGGAAGTTTGGGGTTTGCAGTCAAGTGTGGAAAAAAGGTTGTTGAAACCATATTGAATAACAGTGCATCCTGCTGGGTGATTCAATCGGGCCAGACAAAATGACATGCAGTTTGGCAAAGAGCCATCGCGAAATTATACCGTGGAAGATATGGAAGCTGGCATACTAAGAGCAGCCGGTCCGTTTAGCTCAGTAATGTGAGATGCCCAGGATTTCATAGGAGAGGACTCTCCCAGCTGTGCCTGGGGATGTCAGGATTTGAACCCAGGACCTTCCGCAGGCTAAGGCAAATGTTCAACCACTACTTACACAAGGGGGCATAGGAAACTGGCTTCTTCTGAATCAGACCATAGGTCCTTATAGCTCAGTATTGTTTGCACTGACTTGCAGCAGCTGTCCAGGATTTCAGGCAGGTCTTTCTCCAAGCCCTGCCTGGAGAAGCTACAGGATTGAACCTTCGGCACCCCAAACAGATGTTCTTCGTGACCCCCTGGA